ATCTCGCTTACCCTCACTCGTGAACAAGACCCCGAGATACTTAAACTCCTCCACTTGAGGCAACTTACCTTTAACACATGGAAACGAAGACATATCACACACCTCCACCACCTTTTCTAGAATAACAGCTTCATTATTTTTTTACATTTAGTACTGGACTATGACATGGGGAAGGAAGCATTCCTTCAGTACCTCCAATTAAAGTCTGTTCTTAAATCTAAAATCAAAATGTCAAATAATTTACTCCCATCCCCATTAGTAGAACAAATTGATAAAATGTCTAACCAAAAGAAGATCCGTTCCAAAAGATGCTGATATTACAACTGTGGACACGATAATTTCCATCCCAATCACAACCTGGAAAGAAGGCTTATCAATTACAACCAATACAGAATTCTGGACCCATATTTGCAAGAACTTAACAATGACTAACAACATTAAGGTACAACTAATACAGTACATGGTAATTCATAGATCTCACATCACCCAGCACAGGTTGTATAAGATGGAACATACAGACTCTGACTTAAGTTCATACTGCATGTCAAACACCCAAGATGACTATTACCACTCTACCAGGCTCTTCTCTCCTGTTCAACATTTTTGGCAAGAGGGCATTAACATAATGTCTCTTATGTCCAACTGTAGCATCCCACTATCTCCATCCCTATTTACTTGGAGATCTTTGAATAATAAACCCACCAATCCAAAATCCAAGATCCATACTCATCACCTTAACTATTGCCAAGAAAAATATCCTCTTAAACTGGAAAAAAGAGGTAAGGAACATGCACTGATTACTGGAAAAAAGACATTAAATACATACATTAAATATATTGGGAAAAAATACAAACATTAAATATCATGTGATGGCTAAACCTTTTCAAACAATACATGGAACAAATTACCCTCCAACACCAATCCTCACACTTTGAAAAAGTTTGGGATTCTTTTATCATTTCATTAGACTCGCCTGTCAATTAACCCCTCTAATTTTGCCACCTATATTTACACATAAACACAGACAGACGCACACACACTCATTACAAACTTTCACCAAAGTTTCATTATTAATCACTGATCTCACTCCTCATACCCTCATACGTGTCTGTGTCTCTGTATGGTGCTCTGGGTATTATGCTGGTGGTCGGGTTGGGGCAGGGGGGTGGGTGTGAAGTGGCTTCACCTAATGCATTGAACTTTCAATAGAAATCAAAAACAAAGTTTTCCTCCGTAGAGGGGGGTTGGTAATGGTATTAAAAAAGAACAGGTACAACATGACCACATCCTCTGTAACTAATTTTTATATATAATCGACCGCACTGCTCAGTAAAAACAGGTCAGACCTTTGTTCCGCATAGTTGTACTAAAACCTTACCGTGGATTTTCTTCTCTTTCTCAGTCAGGTGCTTATCAGCCTGCATGACTACAGCAGATTCCACACTCTTTTCCTTTAGAAAGATCCCTAAGACTTCTTCTGCCTGTAAAAATCCATCAGGACATGAAAATATCATAATACAAAAAGGGGCTTAATGCACTGAAATTCTATGATTTATTAACCCCCCCCCCCATTTCAGCAATACAGATAAAAACCTTACTGATTTGGGTATTCGGCCTGAAGCTTACCAGTTCCACTACATCCTGAACGTGTGAACACCTATGGTTGGTAATATTATATTTCCTAGGATTTTAATGCATTGCCAAGCAAGTTCAAATCTACAGTACCTGCTCAATTACTTGGAAGAACACCTATTTAACAACAGTTTTACTTAACTCTGTAATCATTGACTGTTAGTTTGTTCAGATTCTGAAAGGCACACAGTGCATCAACAAAAGCATGTTTAGGGCTGTAGACAGATTTAACCGTAGTTCTTACCTTGACTCCTTTGTTGGGTGCTCTGTTGTATTCATCCAGTAAGTCTTGGTGGTCCACACAATAAAGGTCATACCCACCCGGTTTAGCATAGAACCCATTCTCCAGTTTCTTGGCTATTGGCTCAGAAAGCTGTGAAAGCAACTGTCTGCAAAGACCTTCTGAGGATTTCTCATTTTCAGCAAGAAAAGCAGCATAAGCTTCTTTGATGGCTTCCTATGAAAACAGCACAGATTCTGTTGCAGTTTACATGCTTTCATCAACCTTAAATCAGTATCATTATAAGCTGGCAGGGACTGGAACCTACCATGAGTGTTTTCATGTATTCACCATTCTCATCCTTAAAGGATCGATTTGTGAATGCTTCAATGGCCTGGGAATCCCAGTGTCCGTGCTTCCTGGACATCTCCTCCATGCCTACTGGGAAGGTAATCTCCTGCATGCCCTTCTTGTAGACCTGCAATCCTTCCTGCACAGCTGCCTGGTTTTCAATCTGGGCCATGGCCACCACAGCATTCTCCAGACAGGGAACACCTCCACTAGCAATGGTCTCCACGTAGGTCTTTGCCAAGTGGCCAAGCACTGAAACCAAACAGTGTATACGTAAATCATAATTATTCAAAATCTATAATTATTATACAATATCTATTGGAAATTTATTTAATCCAAAAACCTTTACCCTCCAGACTACTGTCATGAGGTCCAAAGTAATAATTAATAACATTAATTCATTACATATGAAGCAATATTTTTAAAACAGGAAATACAACACAGAGCTACAGTTATCATGACTCACTCCTTCCTGTGACTGGGAGTCCACCTTTCACTTTTTTCACTGAACTTTCATTGTAGATATAGTTGCAGAACTTCAAAGTAACAGCCTTAAATGATGAACTGAGCTGATTTTCATCCATGGACTCGAGGTGGGCCATTTTCTCTGGAGCTGCAGGTGTTTCAAACGCAAAACATCTCCTTTCTGGAAAGTAATTCCGAATGCACTCTCGGGGGAGGTTATAGGCTACAGTCTTCTTGTCGTTTCCTAAACACAGAAACATGTTCAAGTCTTTGCATTGCAGCAAACAGTTGTCCGTGTATGTACTCTAAAGGTGGCCACCTATTTAAAATGAAATCGACATGATTGATGTTGTTTTAGCTAGGGCTGCAATGACTAGTCGACATAATCGCAATGTCGATAATTAAAATTCATCAACGAGAAATTGTAGTGTTGATGCATCGTATTATACAACCATGTACAGTAAATGTTCATTTGTAACTGCAATGCACTACAGCAAGTGCTGGGCACAGTATCACTTCCACTGTCTGCCTCTCTGGATTCTCTAAAGCAGAGTTGTCACTGCAGTAATGCATGAGCATCTGAAACCAAGGCAAGCTGGAGCCATGATGTCCACTCCGGATGGGTATGGAATGCCATCGGAGTCAAAAGCCTCAGAATCAACACGTCAAATTTGTATGTCTTAAGATGTTAAGAATTAACATGTTAACACATACATTTTCAACATCTTAAGACGTACAAATTTGAGTGCTACCACTTCATCAGTTTCTGAGAGGAAACTGTACAAACAAGGCCTTGTTTGTAATCATTACATGAAAGAAAACAATTTCCCACCTTTATGCAAAACAAATACAGTGGATACTGCTTATAGTGGTCATGGTTACACTGATCAGCCACTTATACAGATCAAAAAGCTTGGGACCAAATCATTCCAAATACTGTTTAAATAATTAGTTTATAATACTCAAGTAGTGCCAAAAATGAGCCACCAAGATACAGTGGTGAAATTACAATAAAGTGTATTTTATGTACATTACAGTATGTACAGTATTACAGTGTATTTTAATCATGCACAATTCAGTAATGTAACTCGTACAGTACTGTAATTTGAGAAGCGTTTGAAACAGCTGTACTGTATTTTGAAAGAGTCAATAAAATTCAGTGAATAGTGACGCTGTCTGTTTTATTACCTTATATTCATTTAATCAATATACAAATGTCAATTAGATGGTAATCTGCCTGAGACATGAAGAAAAAGAAATCTGTAAGCAATTTCCACTGTAGTATATTTAAACATATATTTGACATACTGTATATGTCTGCTTTTGATGTTGTCCCCCACAAGAGGCTCTTACTTAAACTCAAAGCGACAGGTATTTTAGAAACTGTAGCGACCTGGATTGATAACTGGTTAACAGATAGGAAGCAGCGAGTAGTTATAAGAGGCACAAGGTCACAGTGGGTCTGCGTTCATAGTGGGGTACCGCAGGGTTCAATTTTAGGACCACTATTGTTCCTAATTTACATAAATGATATAGACACCAATATATACAGTAAACTGGTGAAATTTGCAGATGACACCTACACTAGGTGGGTGGTGTAGCAGATACTGAACTAGCAGCTCAGCAGCTACAGCGGGATCTTGATTTAATTAGTGACTGGGCCGATACCTGG